TAGCTTATTAATATTGTATTATATTTAATTATCATTAACCATAGATTAACACAAAAAATTGAGAGGAGAAATAAGCCACAATCATACAATCTACTCGCATTATTTTAACTTATAACTTATGCTCTATCTTGCTCTAATAGGAGATGTACTAAAGTCATTTCCTGAAATATCATAGAAGAGGTCATCACTCTTGCACAATGCATACACAACATCTACCATACTCGGCCGCTTTGAGGGATCCTTATTAACACAAGCAATAGCCACATTCATCATGTTTGTCAAGGCATCAACCGAGCATGACTCCTTTTGAAGGAACTTGTCTATCCACTCCATCAACTTCTTCACCTTTTCGGTATCCTCAGTGTAGCCCCAAATTTCATGGGCACTAGCCCAAAGTACTTTTCCATCATCGTCGATGGCCTCCCTACCCGATAGCAACTCGAGCAAGACTACTCCAAATGAGAAGACATCCATCTTTGGAGAAACTATACCATCAGTCAAGTATTCGGGTGCAATGTATCCTTGGGTGCCTACAATGTGCATTGTAATAGCGTTGCACCCGGACCTTGCTAGCCCGAAATTGGCAATCTTGGCTCTCATATTGGCGTCTAGAAGAATGTTGCTGCTCTTAATGTCTTTGTGAACCACTTGTGGTCTAGTATGCTCATGGATGTATTGAAGACCATTTGCAATGTCGATTGAAATCCTTAGTCTAGCTTTCCAATTTAATTTTCCCTTGTTTTCGTGTAGCCACGAAGAAAGAGATCCATTTTCGATGTACTCGTAGACAAGGTAGCAACTAGCATCCTCAGGGTCTATGGAAAACCCTTCCAACCTAACAAGGTTTCCATGATTCACCTGCAAAAAATAGGAAGATATTGTCGTAAATATAAAAAATAGGGGGATATTGTCTTAAATATACTGTTTTTATAATGCTAAATTGATGACTAATATTGAAAATTATTGTGCGTGACACAAGATCTAACAGCCTATAGCACCTATTTGAGTATGAGTCAAGATGACATTTGCAAAGAATCATACACTTATCACTAGTTGTTGCCATAGAAATGATTAATAACCACAATCATAGACTCATAGCAATATAATACTCCTATTATATTAATAGTGCCACCAATAATTTTAATAAACTCACAATTTCTTAATGGAATCTATAGTCAATAATTAGTCAACAATTACCACCTAACCACTATGTTTACTAATGATATCTTCACTAACCTCGTTTAATTTAAAAAGACTACCTTTTTAAGTCGTATTAGTCTCTCATCCACTCATATTACAAGGGTTTGTTTTATTACTATTTTTATTCCACAATACACATGCAAGTTTTATCCCATTGGCAATTTGGCATCATTATTCTTCAAGGAGTTTAATTTTTATTCAAAAGAAATTATAACTAATTGGGGATCTTATTTTCAAAAGAACATCTTGCATAAGCGGTTAGTCAACAAGCTTATTATTATGCATTTATACATAGTGTTCAAAGTTCGTATTTTTTTTTTAAGTGATCACTCTAAGTTAACTAACATGTTGAATGTAATTATCCTTAATCCTTTTTTGTGTTTGAGTAATTATGTAAAAATGGCTAACTCAAATTACACATATTCTAACATTGGCCTGGCTAACTCAAACTACGCATATATATGTAGCTTTGACAAAAACGAGCTCGACTCTACATTAAAGGCCTGTTGACATTTAATGAACTGAATTGAACTAAACTAAACTAAACTGAATTGAATTGAGCTTAAATGAATATTTTATGTGAGAGGGAAATTAAGAGCTGAACAAAACTGAACGACAGAGCTAAACTGAACCGATTGAAGCTGAAATGAACTGAACTGAAATTAAGTAAATGTGAACAGACCCTAAATATGAATGTATAGTAATATGCTGGATCGGATTTATTCAAATACGAAGTAATTTATGAGGTTTTCAATTGTATGTTATAGGCACAATAATATATACTTATATAAATTATTCTAACAAATAATATAAAAGAACCTTTTTACATCAAATTAGACTAAGGTGTCAGTTTGGTTCACAAGGGAATTAGAATTTCCCATGAATTGCAAATATATGGGAATTTAATTCCTATAATCAAATTCATGGGATTTTCCAAAAATTGTTTGGTTAACAATGAGGGAAGTTACTTCCCAAGGGAACTTCTACTTACCTAGGGGGGGGTTAGGTAAGTGAATTCCTACATTTTGTGGGAACTCAAAATTCCTAGGAAGTTCCACTTCCCCCATATCACCAAATTTTTGCCAACCAAACAACATACAGTGCAAAATTTGTAATTCCTAGAAAGTTTCAATTCCCATGTTTTATTATGTCAACCAAACAAGCCTAACAATACGAAGTACAAAGATGAGTGAGCTTATAAACTTTCCTTTAACAATTTATATTATTCATCATTTAATTTCACCAATAAAAATAATTTATTCTTGTAAATTAACATGTACAACAAATCAATAAATATAGATTAAAATACCTTTCAAAATAAATAAATTAATTAAAATAAGGTTATAAGTTCAAATTACTAACCTTTTGCAAAATCTTCAATTCTTCACAAGCATTCCACTTCATCTTCTTAATCACATGAAACTTTCCATCAATAAAACCTTTATAAACAGAACCTTGAATCACATTTTTCTCATCAAATCCATTAGTAGCTTTTCTCAATTCATCAATTTCATAAATCTTATATTTATCCAAAGTATCAGAAACATCAGCCAACAACAAATTCTGTTCTAATTGCTTCACAATCCTTCTTTCACTACCCTGTTTTCCAAATTTCCCCTGTTTTATCCCTTCAAAATCTCTCTCCTTTGACTTTTTCCTGTTGTCAACTTCCCTATAAACCAACAACCCTGAAACCAAAACAAGCAACAAAACACAAACACCTAAACCAACACTTAAACCAACAACAACCCCTTTATGATCATGATCAATAGTAGTAGAAACCACCACAGTTTGATTTGTGGGAACTCCAGGAGGTTGATTGAGCTTAACAAGTTTCGAAACCGGAACGAAAATCGTGTCGTAAGGGTTAATATCATCCCCATTTACATCAACAATAGACTGTCTTGTTACTCGAAACAAGGACGCAATACTACTCAAACTATCATTAGGTTGAAAAACATAAGTAACTAAGAAATTTACACGATTTCGAAGCTGAGTAGTGTTAGGACACTTACAAAAGATGGGAAAATAAGCATTACTACCAATAGTAAGGTTAAAAATATCAAGAGTAGGGTTAACAATCATAGTAGTTTCATAAGTAGTAAGGTTACCAAAATGATTAGATGAAACATAATAGAAAGTATCAGCTGGTTTTATGTTGTAAGTCATGTTAGCAAAGGAAATGGACTTAAGGGTTTGGTTACGAACCGGGTTGCACCCGCATGAGATGGGGATGAAAAGGGGTTGGTCCGGGTTGAGACCGAAAGACGGGTTGGCTATGTTGCTTGGTTCAGAGATGGTTAGCCGACTCACGTTGAAGAGGTCAGCAATGGAGGCTAGGTCAAGGTAATCAGGGGGTTTGGGTCTGTATAATACATAGGTTTGACATGGGTATTGGCTAGTGTTGGTGTTACAAGTGTAGCCAAATGTGTGTTTTTTGTTAATGGTTGGTTGGGAGTTTGAGTGGTGGATTTTGTTGAGGATAAGGAGGAGAATTAGATAGGAAAAATGGAGGATTTTTGGTAACATTTTTTTGTGGGATTGATTGGTTTAAGGGTTTAGTGTGTTTTAGGTTTTTTGGGTGGTGAAATGAGGATGCATATATAAGAGAGTGTTGTAACTATTGTTGGTTGAGGAACAAGTTGAAAAAGTTTTGTTTACTAGTATTTGGTCAAGAAATTTGGATTACTAGAGTATTGGTCAAGTGCTCATGGGGTCATGGTATGTACTACGTAGAGTTTCATTGATTTGAGGGGCCTTTTTGTTGAATAAATATTCTAGTGTTGGAGTTGATAGGCATTTGGAAACGTATTTGTTATGGCATTATTTTTTATATGCTTATGCATAATATACAAGAGTCAAATTTGTATACTACGTATGTAGATAGAAAAAGTATTATAATATATACTTCGTATAAGTTATTGCAATCTATATATAAATCAAGACTTTTATTTAAGTTAGAATTATCGATCTCTTATTAGCTATTTTGGAGATAGTAGTTGAAATATATTTATTTATTTATTATTTATTTTTTCCTTTTTAAGAAAGTTGGAGCAAATGAACAACATTTACAATAGTTGTGACTTGTGAGTTTAGGAGTTGAGGAACATTATGATCCATCTTGGAAAGAGTCAAAAACTTCGTACTCCCTTTATGTTGCATTAATTAACAACTTTTATGATGAGATGGTATGTAGACAATGTAGTAATTAGATAAGATGTAATAAATCACCTCTGACGTGTGCCAACTCATGAGGCTTGTCGTATAGTATGGTGTTGAATTATCAAAAGTTCAAAAGTGGCTTCTTTCAATAGGAACTTAAGGGTAAAAGTGCCAAATATTGTTCCAACCAATCCGATTTGAAAAGTTTTAATTTAGATTTCGACTTGTATAGAGAAATAATTTAGTACTCGTATAACTTAAATTTAAAATAAATTCGACCTAATCGAACTTGATCCAAATACACGAATTGAATTGACACCTCTAGTAGTATTGGCTATGTAGATGCACTTCAATTATCTACATACTAAAAAAATGTGGACTAAGGTCATGTTATATACAAAATACTCCATAGTAGAAGAGGGGAGATAAAGGAATCCCTACCCCAAACACCTTTATTTGATTGGATTTGAACCCCAAATCTGTAGGATATCATGTAAGAAACAATGAATTAACATTTTGTTCGTTGGTTGTATATAGCTTTCAATGGAGTTTTATAATTTTTGATTGTTTGTCCCACATGGTACTAGTAGGAAGATGTTTTTTTAATAAATCAAAAGTGCTAATAATACATTTATAGATTTAATACTACATGAATTGGATTGAGCCCTTTAATTGGGCTAGCTTGGGTGTGTGCTAGCATTTTGGGCTGTAGAAGTGATGTTTGCTTGTATGTTTTTGCCGCGAAAAAAAAATGTATACAACTTGAAAAGCATCAGTCTAATAGGGATACAATTAGTTATCCTAAAGAGCTATTTACCAAATTAAAGTGGTAACCATCAATCTTTTAAAAATTCGGGTACATTATACACCATTTGAGTAAATTTGGATGCCATTTTTATATGGCTTCAACAAGGCGGTGGCCTTTTCTTGCAAGACCTCCCATGCTATATCGATATGCCTCTCTTCCGTTAGTGGAGCTCCCACAGCCAAGCGTAATACATACTTGCCTGACAGAACCTATATGTTTGAAGAGCAGTATGATTAGGAGCTTTGCCAATGCTACCATTACATCTGGCTAATTATGCAACTTAATAAATTTCCTAAATAATCTTAACAAGTTATTTGTAGAATAAAGTATGGCATATACATACTGTATGAGAAATGAACATCTTTCCAGTAGAGTTGACAGCTTCCAAGAGCTCACGATTGAGCTTATCACACTGGTTTTCGTCTTTGCCAGGAGGCAGCAACCGGAAACACAGTAATGCAAACTTTCTAGGAGTAATCACCTGCCCAACCGAGTTTTTAAGTTATGTCGAAAAGCATATGCTGTAAACTATGCTCAGTGATCAAAATATTGAACAGAATAGAGAAGGCACAAAATCAATAATGTAACAAAAGGATCTGTAGTTGATACAAAACACCGCTATAAATTAACTGACAAGCATGCAGAAGCACACATGATATTGAGGTGAAACTATGAAAACAGGAGAAATTTCAATTAGTCAAAATATGATTATCATCAAGCCCTGCTCTACAATGCCACAACCAGCATCACAGAAAGAAAGAAAAGCGAGCCACTTGGTGTAAAAGATTACCTCAAATCTCAAATCTTGACGAACAAGCTCTTCAAACCGTTTTGCCAATGCTATATGATTTCTAATATATGATTGCAGACCCTCTTGGCCATATAACCGCATTACCATCCAAAGTTTTAAGGATCTGCAAGATACTAATCATTACTGTTATGAAGCAAAGTGAATCAGACATCAATTGAAGTGCTTAACTGCAGATTATGATGCAATTATTCTTGTAGAGACGAGATGCCAGAAATAGTAATTAGAGTAAAGCATAATTGATTTATGTAAACTCTATTACCTGACATACATACCTCATACAAGAATTTACTATAGCTATGTCTCATAAATGAATGTTTTAGGCTAACCTGAATCGACGACCAAGAGGAATTTGCCAGTCTTTGTAATCCACAACTGTATTTGCTTCTGAAGCCTGGTAACCAGTTAGTATTTGTCAGAGAAAGAAAATCATATGCAAAGGAGATCCTCAGTTGAGATTTCTAGTTAATTATAAGCCAGAAATTTAAACAACTAATGCCCCAAAATGAAGGTGAACATCAAACTTTCAGAAAAATCTTGCTGACACTTTCATGCAGCAGAACAGCCCCATCATACAGCTATGACATAATTGACATACTCCGATACAGAGTCAAGCAGATAAACATGCAACGCGAGAGCTTACTTTGTTTCTCAAATACTCTGGATACGTGGACAAGGATTCAATCAGAGCGCTTCTGTCCTGTAAACATGAAACATTGTAAGACCAAAAGAGTTGAAAAGATACATACAGTGTCAAATTTAATGAGTTGAGCAGATAAATATGCAAATAATGTGAAGTAGCATACTCTAATCCAAAGAGCTGAGCAATCAAAGTTTGTAAGGAGCCATTTATGTGCATTCATGCAAAATGAGTCAGCTTCTTCAACGCCATCAAGATAGTGGCGAAATTCAGGACATATACAAGCACTTCCAGCGTATGCACCATCAATATGAAACCAAATTCCATTACTCTGCCGACATTTTAAACAAGAAAATCTTCTTAAGATACTAAAGATTAGAACAAGCCTAGTAAATTGTTATTATTATGAACTCCTGTACCCATTTCAAACTCTGAGAATTACTGGTTAGTCATTAGTATTTAGCTGATTACATACCTTAGCAATCTTTCCTAGAGCAAGCAATGGATCAACTGCAGTTGACGAGGTTGTCCCAATCTGCAAGCAATCTTAATGCTTATTAGTCTTGTTAGATTTCAAAATTACCTTTGGTATCACTCCCGGTATTCCAATGATCATTACAGCACACGAAATACTTGCAGAAACGGGTCAGTTGCTTAAGGTAAGTCCACCAGTAGTGATACAAACATTATTCAAATTTCTTTGTCAATCTGGTGAAACTTTAGGGTCCTACTCATTTGGTTACTGTTTTGATGCCAACCTTGGTATGGATTTTAAGAACCATTATTCTGGCCTAGATCTCATGCCGCCCTGGATATATGAGCTTACAGTATTTTACTGGTCTTAAAATTAACATTTGCTGTGCAAGTATTTTAAAGATTATACTTTGTAGTTGTTTAAGCAATTCTAGGTAATAGTCGGACTAAATCACTTAGAAAAGAGTTGGAAACTAGAAGAAAAGTGGAATTCCCGCGTCTCACTAAAACAGCAAACAAAATCAGGATTGATATGAGGTATCAGAGTAATAAGGATTGTTATTCTTACAGTAGCACATAAGAAAAGAGGTATGAGACCAGAAGCAACATCATGTGATACTGCTTCAGAAAGTACTTCAGGACTAAGAGCATATTCACTTGATGAATCCGTCTTCAAAATTCTGATGTTCTCAGGATATATTCCTGCAATCTTATGTTACACAGAAAAGACAGAACATCAGAATCAAGAATCAAACAAGTCTTACAAACGCAAAACTTTTAGTTATATTTTTTTTCGCCGGTGATTACTTTTAGCTACATTGTCAACTTTCTTCTTCACCATACTCGAACATGGGTACTTGTGTTACATTAGGCAAATAGGCAAGACTTGTGTATTTCATGTGAAGGATCCAAGTAACATAGCTATGTATTCAACTATTCTATAAACATAATCTTATGTTAGCTGTTAGCATTCCGTGATTGCAACATTGACCCTTAAGACCCCGAAAGACAAAATTCAAAATGTATTGGCAATTCAAAGCATTCTTATTGCTAAGTAAATTTGTTTCATAAGTTCTGATAATTAATCTCATTCTAAAAGGTTCATCTTTTCACCTGCTTCCTCTGTTTTTTATTCTCCAAGTAGAATATATTGACTGATCACATGTAGAAACAATTCGAAACCCTGAGCATATGACTTCAGACTAAATGACAGAAAGATGAGGATAAGAAAGAGTCAGTTACCAAATACCTGAGAACCTTTCTTTACAGAAGCATGAGTTTGATCAGCAGTATAAACAACTAGTTTCCCCAAAGAATCTTTTCCTACTTTCTTCAACATCCGATCACGCGCAGCCACTAATGAAACCAGAACTGCTTCACTGGCAGTACCCTGTATGACACCACCACCTTTTCCTGCAATATCATTGGAAGCATCAGTTTTCATTGCACCCCACTTTCATGTACAATATTGATGTCACGTTCTTTAGATGGCCGTGTCTGACACTTGAACACGTATCTGAGTTCAACACCTCTAGACGCGTCTCAGTTACATAGCATGTAACAGCACTGCATCAGTCAGACTTACCTGAAGAAAGGAAGGCATCAGGTAGCTTAAGCAATTTAGCAAGCCAATCTAGAACAATCACTTCGAGTTCTGTTGCTGCAGGACAGGTAACCCAGCTAAAGCCAACAATGTTGACACCAGCACTAAGCATTTCCCCCAGGAATCCGGCGATACTGCTGTTAGAAGGGAAGTACGCGAAATAGCCAGGGCTTTGCCAATGTGTTACCCCTTGAAATATCTTTGATTTTATATCTGCAGGATATATATGTCTCAAAATTTGTCGATTATGATTTAAAAAACATAAGACAGTCTAAAAATGGAGCTGAAATAATGGCCTAACCATTGAGAACATCTTGTAAGGATTCCGGATGAACAGGTGGAGACTCCGGTACAAGCTCACGAAGATACCCTGGCTGCATTTCACAGAGAATGCCATGTTGACGAGTTATATATTGATTGGATACGTGGGATATTATGTACAAAAATCCATTAGTCTAGCTGAATCGTGCAAGGTCACAATAATCATCTACTACGACATGATACGAGGACTAAAATGAAGACGAAGATGAACAGATAAGATATCACCAACATTCCAAGAACAAATTGGCTTAAAATTTCTCGTTTCATATTATCCTAAGTATTTCTTAGGAAAAATGCACTACAATTTGTTGGTTTTATATACGTCAATTCATTATTACTTGTTAGTTTTATAAATTAATGCAATAACAACAATGACTAACACCTAAACCTGTAACCTCATTGATGTCCTTGAATATAGTTGATAAAAATTTAGGGAGTATCATTTTACTATTGTTTTAATTCGAAAATATTCAATCTTGAAATCCACTATAGATTTCAACTTTTAGGAACATGAGACTAGCTAGAACAGGTTAAATTTTAATATCAAATATGTTACATTCATTTTGCTCATGACATATGACTGGCCTTGCCATGAACTCATAGGTAAGATAAGATAGTACATAAATTTTACGTTCATGTGATTAAGTACTAATTATGCTAAAACCACAAAAAAATTCGAACAAAAAATGCACATAAGGCCATGTTGACTTACTTTAGATACATCCGAGTATACGATAGAAGTTTTATAAAGTCTTAGGGTCTGTTCTCTTACGTTGAAATTCAGTTCAGTTCAGTTTAGTTTAGTTCAGCTCAGTTCAGTTCAGTTCAGTTCAGTTCAGCTGAGTTCAGTCAATGAGAACAAGCCCTTAGTTGAATCTATGCAAGAAATTTGAAAAATGCTACATCACCAATAGTGGTAATTAAGTACTAAGTAGTGGAATAGTGGGGACTAGGGAGTAGTAGTTTCAGTGATGAAGCCGTAACCAGGCCACTTAAACTGAATAAAGCTGTACTGTGAGTCTGTGACATTTAATTAGAGCAATCATAAAATTTTCAAGTCATGATTTATGACTACCTTTCATTTCTGATTAATTGCAACATTGTTTTTCCTTTATAAAGTATTGTACTCGTATTTGTTTGTTATTAATTGCAACCATTCTTTATTTGATAGAGCCCATTGTCGTGTAACTCGTGTTAGCTCAACCCAACTATCTAAGTTATAGTGCCCCCTCTCCCTATCCAAACTCCGTACAATAATTCATACCCACGATAAAATATGGGACCACTGCCCACCTGAGCTCTACCACTTAAGATCACACATGAAATTCTTAGTTTATCTTGCACAAAGTATATACTACTTCCATTAAATGTTATGTGCAACTTTTGGGTATTATTTGTGAGATATAAAATATTCCCAAGTTACACATAACATTTAACGGAGGTAGTATTTCTAAATAGGCAAAAACTAATGAAGGTCTAGGGGAATTGGTAAGATGCTAAAAAAAAAAAAAACTACTATATTAAAATAAATATTAATAACACCGATCGACGCGTAATTATGACATATATTTCCAAATTAATACTCCGTATTACCTCCGTCCCCGAAAAAACGACTCATTTGGCTTAAAATTTTAGTCCTAAAAAGAATGACCCATTTGCATTAAAATTCCCACCAGTTTGCAATAATATTTGTGCAAAGTTAGGTTTTCCATTTATAATTTTGTTTCCCTATGCACTTTTATTACTTTATCTCTCTACTGGTACTTTTTTACAAAGGGAATACTATTTTTAGAAATATTTTTAATGTTTGGTGTTCGTTAGCAAAATTCTATATTTAATGCACATATTACAAAAGACAGTTATAAGATTGCCCATTAATAATGTAAATATTCAAATGTTGCAATTGAAAGAAATCAAAGAATGGAGAATGTAAATGTCATATGGATGATAATAGAAGACAATTCAACGGATTGTGTAGCATTTACATCATCAATCTAACTAAATTTAGGAGGTCATTTATTACTCACCAATCACTTGAAATGCAACATGTCAAGTAGATCAAGTTTTAAACAAAATTGGCATTCTCTATCTATCTTAATGCTCCACCTTCCAACAACTTCATCCCAAAATATGTGACATTTCCCTTCGATGGCAAAGCTTACATATCACAACTTATTACACCAAAAAGGAATATGAAGGAAATTATGAACATTGTTTTTTTTTTTTTTTTTGACAAGAACTTATGAACATTGTTCTAGAAACGTTACTTTCATAAATTATATTATACAAGTACATTCTGTCTAATACTACAAATATGGAATGAATTATATTATCCATCATCAAACTACAAAAGAATATCTTTTTCACCATTATGTTTCCCATTTTCACAATTATGTTTACTAATGGATTTTTTTTTATTATTATTATTATTATTTTTAATCAAAATAAACGGAGTCTAACTGTTCACATAGAGCGAGAAAAATAATCAAAGTGCAATTTTTTAGCCACCCAATCACCTATCCCTCTCTTATTGTTACCTTTTTTTTTTTTAAGGAATCTAATATTTTTACTTAATCACCCTTCAATTCAAAAGAATCATTAATTAGCCTTTATATATTTTTAATAATTTCGCTACATTTCAATATTAAACATGCATCCTATAGTCAAAATGGCGATACTACCTATAAAAAATAATAATAATAATAAATTATGAAGGAATAAATTTGTAACTTGGAAGTTACTGATTTATTGTTGCATGTATATAAAACCTATTTTCACTTAAATAAAACTATTTTTTTTTATACAATTATAGAAACACTTTCAATGTGAAGTCTAACTACTCCACTCACTATCCCCCTCCAAAAAAAATTAAAAAAATAAAAAATAAATAAAATAAAATAAAAAAATAAATAAAAAAGCAGATGAAGGCTTAATTAATTTGTGTATCCTTACCTTAAAAAAAAAAAGTAATTTAAAAAATTGAAGTCCCCATAAATTAAATACATACGAGTAAGTGAAAATGACCGAAGAGGAAGAAATAAACCTGAACTTGGCTAAGCACGGGAAAGTTTTCAATGGTCTTGTAGTAATCAGCTACAAAATCCACCATTTGATGTCCATATTCTCTCAATTGCTCTGCATCCATGGCCTTCAACTTTTCTCCCTCCCTATTATTTATTTTCGTATCCATCACCAAAATCGCGCAATCAACAAAACCATATATGTCGTATTACACATTAATATACTAGTATTTCCGTAGATCAATGGCAAGAGATGATCAATGGTATTCTTTACAAATTTTACAAACGGGTTATGCAAGATATAAGCACTGTAACGATTAATACTAGCTAGTAGCTACCTCCGTTCTTTTTTAATTGACAGGTCGGATTTTAACAAAGTATGCAGAGAAAGGTATAGTAGGACTTACATTTTAAATTGGTGGTGGACGCCTGGTTTTTTTTACTTGTGATGGAATCGAAATTGATTGTGAGCGTTCTGACGCAGGAATACACTCACACCCTTGACACTTTATATAGCAAGATTTTTTTTTTTAATTATTTTTTAAAATTCTTTTTATACAGTATTTATTTTTATGAAAACGATTAAATAGCAACTTAACATCTAAAGTACCAACTAATCCGTTACATGGTGTAACCAAGTCAACATGAATAAATAGTACGGAGTAATTATAATTATAATTGACAACCATAGCATATTTTTATAAGATCATCAAATACTTCTTTGATCCTCATCAATTGATCGCGAAAATTGAATAATACTTCGTAGTTTTTTTTTTTTTTTGAAAGGATAATTATGTACTATGAAATACATGATATTAATTACACTATATCAATAATATTATAACTTGGGAGAATGAACTATTGAAGATACAAAAAATGAGAAAGTGGGAAAAGGAAAAAGAGAGAAGAAAAATAAAAGGTCTCCAGTTGCTCGTGGGAAAAGAAGATTAAAAAGTGAGAAATGAAAGGCAAAAAATTACCAATACTCCGTATTTGTGAAGATATATAATTACTCCGTATGAAATTGTCGTTAATGACATGAGAAACAAAATTATGCCTATAATTTACTGACTCTGTTTTTTTTCATTATTTGTAATAAAAGGGTATAAATTATTTGTAAGAGATACAATATTTCTTTATTATAAATAATTAAAGGCAGAGGTAGTATTTGCGTGTTTGATTGATGAAGCGCACAGCCACACAGGTGCATTCTAATTTCTAATTGAAAAATAAATAAAAATGAACGAACAGTGTATAAATTGTAACCCGACTTCTGCCGTTATGTCTCGTATCTTTCCATGGATGGATCGAATCGTTGACTTTTCTCATTGACTAATTATGATATTTGTAAATAACAGGACTAAAAGCTATCATGTCATGTCATCCTTAATATAGTATTTGACAATCCTTTAATGTATTTAACTATTTATGTACTCTCTTTGCTCCTTTATATTGTGGCTACTATGACGTACAACCTACAACTAACCATACCATTAATTAACTCCAAAAAGGCTTGATTATCTTCTAGTAGTTTGGATGAGTCATAAGGACTTAAAAGACATTTCAAATGCCTAATGGTGAGCCGCAAAGAATATATCTCTCGAGTAAGTTTAGCCCCAAATCTTAAGATTTGGGGGTGACATCATCATTTTGAATCTTAAGACTTATGTTTAAAACTTTTCTCATTTTTTTTTCTTAAATCTCAAGCAAGTCTCAAGTTGAGTCTTGAAATTTCAAAACTCAACTTAAGACTTGAGATTGGATCCACCTTATTGTTATTGTTATTGTTATTATTATTGTTATTGTTATTATTATTATTATTATTATTATTATTATTATTATTATTATTATTATTATTATTATATCTCGAAAACAAAAGTCATACAACCTACAATAAATTAGTGGGAAGCCGAGATACAATCTGGGTCCCCACTCCTCTAGGTATAGCAAAGCCTACCCTAGTGAATATATGAGTTGCAGCACGAGCCCCAATATCTTGCATCATCGAGAACCTTTGAATCCTCTTTAGCAACGCAACAGCCTCCCTCTCTAAATCCCAAGCGAAGAAAAGGAGAAGAGAATGAAACCATATCCAATCGCTAGACAACAAGCTTCATACTCAACCCGCTTCCGATGAGCCGCATCAGCCACAACCAGTCCCGAAACAAAGTAACACATCGACAGGTCTGAGGGCCCCGTCATTCCCTCCAGACAATCCTATGTCAACCTCCTTTCTTGTTGAAATCTCAGATCTGTAGCAAATATCAACAAATGTATCTCAAACAACATTGTGCCGATGTTTAATACCTACAATGCCAGCACACGACACCGCATGGTCGCCGAATATATCCCCAGTAAAAACCCGAGAGCAAGTAGAGCACGGTGTCGAGATAGAGAACAATGGAACACCCATCCAATAACACATCACACATCGGTATGTCTTAGCGTTCATCGTCTGACCCAATCCAGAAATAGGGACTGCCCAAAGCCAAGTAGAGGTGTGATCACTCTGCTGCAACTTCCATAATTCCGATTGCCGAGGAGACAAAGAAAAGGTGGATTCTGCAGATGCGGTAACCTTTGTGAAATATATATCTACCAATTTCTTCATGAGTATAGGGGCAGCGACCTCACAAGGATTACCTAAAATGTCAGACTCAACCATTCTAGTAAACAGACTCAACACATCCTTAAAAGCTTGACCAAGACCCACAATACCAGTACGACGCAGAAGTTGCGTCTGCAACCCAGCAGACTGCAACCGAGAAGCAAGAAAAGCATAATGACGAACATCACTCGCGGAATAAACACCAAGCCCTCCAAACGCAAATGGTAATGTGGCAAGCCGCCACTGGCAATCACCAAACCCAGGCCCCGAAGCAGTAACAATACACTTCAAGGAAGATCGAAGAGCCTCGTCGAAAACGTGCTGAGCTGCCTCGAATGCACCTGGAGGACAAGTGCGCAAGGCAAAGTAAAGTTTAGAAACTCCAGTACATGCCCTAAGTAATAACAGCTCACATTGAGGATCATCTAGCATAACAACCTTATCCATAAGCGCAATGGTCTTGGTCACCCTCTGCATCACAAGCTCGCCACTAAACCTAGAATCAGAACTAACGGGACCACCAAGCAGCTTAACACCATGCAATGGTCGAGCAATAGAAGGGGGAAAAACACCCACAAGCCTGCTTTGAGGGTCTTCTGTAGGCTAGAAAACTTCAGTTTTTTCCACATTGAGATGCAACCCAAAACGAGGTCCTTCCTCCATAATAAATTGTAGAACCTTCCCTACCACCAAAGTGTCTCCAATAATAGTGTCGTCATCTAAATACCACGTACGCTTGAAGACATACCTCAAAAGCATCTTTGATTTTACACACAAGAGGTTGTAAAACCAAAGAAAAAAGGAGAGGACCAAGGGGATCACCCTGCTGCACCCCCTGAGACGACCATAAGGTGTGGTCCCCATAATACAATCTGGCTGGATTAGAGTAGCAGAAATCAACCCACCGCGAAATACCCGAACAACGACGACGGAATTCACGTAACATGACCGCACAATCAACTAGATTGAAGGCATTTTGAAAATCCACCAACAACATAGAAAGACCAACGTCTAAACCACGATCCTTAATCAACCGATTAACAGCATGAAGAATAGCCTCACCCCCTGAAAAAATCCCAACGCCAAATTGAAGATCATCAAAGTAACTGCCCAAAGACTGGCCAACAATAACAGCATTGTCCTTCGAAACCAAACGTCGCCAAACAGTACCTACAACTATAGGACGTATACCACCACCGGGCTTGATAAGTGGTGTGAGCACTAGCAATATACTCTCCTAGTTCCATAGGACATCTGCCAGCAAGAAAGAGATTAACCAGGCGGTCACACATAAAATGCACTAAACTTCATTGTTGAAAATTAGTAAAAATTGAAAGAAAGGAAAAAAAATGATAATATTATTGTTGGAATCTTGGATAATATTATTATTTTAATAATTACTTAAACTGTATGTTCATTTTTTAAAAATAAATACTTCATATGTGTTTCAATTATATAAATACTTTATCTACCACTACTAGAAAACAGGCCGTTTTCGACGGAAGTTTTCCGTCGGAAACACCCTGAATTTCGTCGAAAAACCCGTTTCCGACGGAATTTCGTAAAAAACGGTGGTCGGAAAAAAGGTTGTAGGAAATTCGAACTTTTCCGAAGGAAATTCCGTCAGAATCACTTTTCCGACGAAATTTCTGACGGAAAATCTGTCGTTGCCAAGTTATCTGGATTTGGAAAAATCCGTCGTAAATCTCCAACGGAAACAAAGTCCGTCGAAACTTTCCGTCAGAAATTTTGTTTACAAAAATAAAGAAAAACATCGCACCACCACCGGTGTGGCGTATCACCACGCTAACCACCACCATTGTCCCCTACCGTTCTACCTCCAAGATCGACCACCACCACCGAACCCAACCCAGACCAACCAAACCCACAAACCCAAACCCAGACCCACCACTGTGAATTCACCCCACCACCACCGAACTTTCCCACAACCTTAACTTCAAAGACCCCCCACCACAACCCACAACCAACTAACCCAGATCCACCCATAATCCAAACCCTAACCCGAATCCACCCGCCCAAACCTCTACCCGGATCCACCCAACCAAACTCAAACATAAAAAATTTTGACAGAAAAAAACATAAAAAAAAAATCCAACTAAAACCCAGATTTATCAACCATCAACACAAATTTGTTTAAAAAATCCGAAAAAAATAAATATAATGAATATTTTTTAAAAAAGAGAGATACATACCTTAATTTAACCACAAAAAACCACGAAATTGGGTTTAAAAGGCCAAATTCGAACATGAAAACTACAGATCTAGAGTTTTCATGTTTGAATTCGACCTAACAAACCTTCGTTTGCACTGTTGACGAATTTTAGGGTTTGGGAAAAACCTGTTTTTGATGTTGTGGTGAAAGAGAAAGAGGAGTGAGTGGTGAACAAGAAGTAGAAGAAGGGTAAGAAGGAGAGCAGGGGATGAAGAAGAGGGAAAAGGAAAGAGAAGAGGGGACGAAGAAGGAGAACAGGGGACGAATAAGAGGGGAAAGGAAAGAGAAGAGGGGACGAAGAAGGGGGAACAGGAAAGAGAAGGTGCAGAGATGAGGACAAAGGAGAGAAGAGGACGAAGGAAAGAGAGGCGGAATTAAGTGAGTGGGGAAATAAAAGAAAGAGAGAAGGTGTAGGGAATAATTTCAAGCATTAACCCCTAGCTTGAACCCCACTGTGATCATACACTAAAGTACGGAATAATTTCAAGCGTTAATTTCAAGTGTTCATGTTAACATTAAAGCATAATAAAAATAGCAAGATCCTAGGCATGATACTAACAAGATTAATAACAAACCCTAACATGTCACTAAGCAATAAAAATCAAATCTTTAACCCTAACATGATACTAACAATCATAAATATTAGGAAGAAAATAAAAGGCATCATAGCAATCATATTTAATATTTAAAATTACCTTAGACATGTTACTAGGAATATCATAATAACAATTTAAACATGATTTCTACATCATAATATCAATAAAAACCATTAAAGCACTTACTTTGATGCCTCGTACCTCTTTCTAATAACAAAATACACACGTTAGTAACTTCAAGGAAAATAATAATCAAAACAATTAAATTAAATAATTGAAATAGAGATTTGGGACCAAACCCTCAGAAATTAAACCTTTCACGTCTAGGGCGAAGACAACTTCGAATATGGCTAGGTGTTTTCTAGATCTTGCGAATGCGGAATTTTGTATGCAAAAGAGCAATTTTAGAAAAGAGAGAGATGGTGAATGATTAGAGAATAGAATGAGAGAATTAATTGAATGAAAACTAATTGTAGGTGACTGTTGATGAGAACTGGTGAATGAAAACGGAGTTTTTAATACGTTATTTATAGAAAAAATCAGCCAAAAAGATAAAATAAACAAAACAGAGGCTGACGCACGAAAAACAGAGTTGGCGCCAACCCTGGCTAACAAGCGCCAAGCATAGGGGTGTTCATAA